GGTGAGTTGTTAAATCAGGGGGCAGACCCAGGGCCAGGGCAGGGGACAGAGGCTCAAAGCGATTCCACACCAAACACTCATGTTGGCTCTCACATGAGGTGAGCTGTTTGGGATAGAAATGAACACACACACACACACGCACACACAGACACACATGCACACGGCTTCACTTTTCTGGGATGCTGACATTATTTTTTTATCCATATAATTCTTCAGGAAAAAGCTGACGGCAGCATTCCAGGATGAGGGGCCTTTTCTCGGGCTGCCCTGTCCCAGGTGAGGGGTCCATGCGCGTGTGTGTGCACTTGTGTGTGCGTGCGTGCGTGTGAGTGTGTGCATGTGCGTGTGCTTGTGTGCGTCTGTGTGTGTGTGTGCGTGTTTGGGAGCAGGAGGAGCTCAGCCCTCCTCTATTCTAAACAGATAATGTCCCTGTCATGTGACCACGCGGGCGGCTTTGTCCCTCGCCCCGTCCCCCTCCTTTTTCGGGGGGCGGGAGGGGGCAGTGTTTGTTGTTGTTGCCCCTGCGAGCAGATGAAAAGGCAGGACTGCGGCTTTAAAGGAGGCAGCGCGGACAGGCGGCGGCAGTGAAAAGGCGGACGCCGCGGAGAGGAGTTTAATCTAATTTGGTTGGAGGGTGTCCGCCGGGCTGTTGTTTTGGGGAGTGTGGGAAGCAAGGCCGGAGCCGTGGGGAGCCGGCTCTCCGAGAGGATCCAAAGCCGGGCCTTGAAGGGAGATTAGAGACGAGCGCTGATTTGCAATTCACACCAAGGCCCCCCGCGGAACCCCCGCTCGTATTTCAAACCCCCTCGCCGGGCAAGTGCCTGAGCCCCAGCGGCCTGGTCGCCTGGGAGGGACTCCCCTCCGCTCAGCCCTTCGAGGATGCGGATGCTTTGTTGTTGTTGATGTTTCTCTCTCATTGATGTTTCTGACTGGGTGTCTGTGGCGGACCCAGGGCCCAGGTGTTTTCCTGGGAGGGTGTGGGGCCGGGAAAGGCTGCCTCCTGGGTCGGGAAGGAGAATTCTCCTGCCTTTGTTTTGTTTTTAATCTGATCACAAGTTTCTGCAGAAATGTTACACGAGATGACGTCAGGGGCAACAGTGCCTGCGGCCCCAGGCCCCGCTGTCCACGGGGAAGTAGATCCCGTTTCAGAGGGATGACCTGAGAGATGAAGCAACGCCACCCTCACCCCCGCCCCCTCAGCAGACCCGGGGCTCCCCCGGAGCACGGTTGTCTCTGAACCCCTTTCTGTCTGAAACGTCACCGCCCGTCTGTGCCCTTCCCCAGCCTCCCGGGTCCTGCCACGGGCTCCCTCCTGCCACGCGGGAGCCACACGCGGAGTCTGAGAGTTCACCTTTCTCTCTGTGGCCGGACGGGTCGGTAGGTCTTTCTCTTAAGGAGGTGACCTGGGCTTGCTCTCATCTGGGTTCAGAAAACCGCCCTCCGGCAGCGGCGATTCTAACCAACCGCAGGGACGGCGATGTCCTGGGAAGAGCCACGCCTTTGCTTTCCCGCGATCTCCGTGTCCACGTAGCTCACACTTTTCACTCTGCTGGGAGGGAGGGAGCCTCGGGGCCACCCCTTCCATCCTCGTCCACCAAAAACAAACAAGCAAACAGTGTAGCCCTCACTGGAGGCCGTGCCCGACTCCTGGGATGGTCCCCTTTCAAAACCCCGTGCTTTGCTGAGAGAACAAGCCCAAGAACCCGAAGGTAGCGAATGTGTAAGTGTAGAATTTTCCAAGAGAGATATGTCTGTTGTAGGTGGTGGGGGGCAGAGGGTAGAACAAAAAATACTCCTCGCCCCTGCCCGTTATTTGAAATCATGTTTCATTATCAAGTTTCTCGCTGAAAATGTGAGAGGCCTAATGAGATTTCCATTAATTTAGAGCCCTCGCTATTCCCACGGCAGCCCCCAAACGCGGCCTGGCCCCTCTTTCATCCGCGGTTAAATATGTAAATAAAACGTCTAAAGTCATTCTTCAAAGAAGACAAAAGAAGAAAGGGGTGAGGGGGGAGCCGGGCACAGAAGCCTCCGGATTCTCCATAACATTCGCCAGAGGGGGGCCGGCGGCCAGCCCAGCAAGCAGCAGGGGGCCCGGCCGCCTCTCAGAGCCGCTCAGAGCCGCACGTCTCACACCCCACACACGGGAAAATAAACGAAAATAAAATATCTTTTCAGCTGGAGCCATCAAAAGGCCCCTTTCATTCCCGGGTTACGGAGGAGGCCGCCGGCACCGGCCAGTTCCCCAGCCTTCGTTCCTCTCCAACGGGGTCAGTTTGCGGGTCCCCGGCTTGGCTGGGCCGAGCGCACGGCACTTCTGCACACACCGTGTTTCTCTTTTTTTTCTGAAAACCAGAGAAGACAGCAGTCCGAAGTGGTTACGGCTAAAATAATGTGTCTGAACATGGCTGCATGGGAGCCACGCAGAGGGACCCTGAGGAGGCACCTCGCACCGCTCACCCCCTCCTGGTGTCGGGCCGGCTCCTTAGCCCCTGCACATGGGTTTCTCCAAGAGTTTCTGAGAAAACAGAAACAAAAAGGAAACGTGGGGGAGGGGTGTCCAATGAAGGACCTTTGCAGGGAAAATGGTAGGAAAGCCAGCTGGTGTCCAGGGGCTGCTTTTCACCGACGGTTTTGAAAAGAACTCCCCGGACTCAAACACACAACAGAAAGGAAACGCAAGTGCGGACCCTCAGGCCGGGGGCTGCCTGGCAGGACGTGCGGGTCTTCCCTCCAGGAGGCCCAGCGCGGGGACGTGGGCTGCACTGGGCAGCCTTTCCCACTTCCTCCTCAGCTCAGCTTCCTCACCCCTCCCACCACAGCCCACATCCAGGGACAAGGACGCAGGGCCAACCTGCCTGTTAGTTCTGGGATCTTGGGTAGGTCCCAGCCTCAGCCTCCTCCTAAGTGTTTGCTGGAAGGAAGGAAGGAAGGAAGGAAGGAAGGAAGGAAGGAAAGAAGGAAGGAAGGAGAGAAAGGAGGGAGGGTATAAGGGAGGGAGGGAGGGAGGAATAAAACTAGATACAAAGAAAATGAAATAAGTGATGAATGATGACAGATGAATGAATGGGTGAATAGATGGATGGATGGACAATGGATAAATGGAAAAAGGAAGGAAGGGTGGATAGAAGGATGGATGGATAGAAGGATGGATGATGGATGGAGGATGGATGGGAGGGAGGAAGGAGGAAGGAAGGGAGGGAAGGAGAGAAGGAGGGAGGAAGAATGGATGGATGGATAGAAGGGTGGATGATGGATGGATGGATGGATGGTTGGATGGATAAATGGGGGGATGATGGATGGATGGATGATGGATGGATAGATGGATAAATGGGTGGATGATGGATAGATGGATGATGGATGGATGATGGATGGATGGATGATGGATGGATAGATGGATAAATGGGTGGATGATGGATAGATGGATGATGGATGGATGATGGATGGATGGATGATGGATGGATAGATGGATAAATGGGTGGATGATGGATAGATGGATGATGGATGGATGATGGATGGATGGATGATGGATGGATAGATGGATAAATGGGTGGATGATGGATAGATGGATGATGGATGGATGATGGATGGATGGATGATGGATGGATAGATGGATAAATGGGTGGATGATGGATAGATGGATGATGGATGGATGATGGATGGATGGATGATGGATGGATAGATGGATAAATGGGTGGATGATGGATAGATGGATGATGGATGGATGATGGATGGATGGATGATGGATGGATAGATGGATAAATGGGTGGATGATGGATAGATGGATGATGGATGGATGATGGATGGATGGATGATGGATGGATAGATGGATAAATGGGTGGATGATGGATAGATGGATGATGGATGGATGATGGATGGATGGATGATGGATGGATAGATGGATAAATGGGTGGATGATGGATAGATGGATGATGGATGGATGATGGATGGATGGATGATGGATGGATAGATGGATAAATGGGTGGATGATGGATAGATGGATGATGGATGGATGATGGATGGATGGATGATGGATGGATAGATGGATAAATGGGTGGATGATGGATAGATGGATGATGGATGGATGATGGATGGATGGATGATGGATGGATAGATGGATAAATGGGTGGATGATGGATAGATGGATGATGGATGGATGATGGATGGATGGATGATGGATGGATAGATGGATAAATGGGTGGATGATGGATAGATGGATGATGGATGGATGATGGATGGATGGATGATGGATGGATAGATGGATAAATGGGTGGATGATGGATAGATGGATGATGGATGGATGATGGATGGATGGATGATGGATGGATAGATGGATAAATGGGTGGATGATGGATAGATGGATGATGGATGGATGATGGATGGATGGATGATGGATGGATAGATGGATAAATGGGTGGATGATGGATAGATGGATGATGGATGGATGATGGATGGATGGATGATGGATGGATAGATGGATAAATGGGTGGATGATGGATAGATGGATGATGGATGGATGATGGATGGATGGATGATGGATGGATAGATGGATAAATGGGTGGATGATGGATAGATGGATGATGGATGGATGATGGATGGATGGATGATGGATGGATAGATGGATAAATGGGTGGATGATGGATAGATGGATGATGGATGGATGATGGATGGATGGATGATGGATGGATAGATGGATAAATGGGTGGATGATGGATAGATGGATGATGGATGGATGATGGATGGATGGATGATGGATGGATAGATGGATAAATGGGTGGATGATGGATAGATGGATGATGGATGGATGATGGATGGATGGATGATGGATGGATAGATGGATAAATGGGTGGATGATGGATAGATGGATGATGGATGGATGATGGATGGATGGATGATGGATGGATAGATGGATAAATGGGTGGATGATGGATAGATGGATGATGGATGGATGATGGATGGATGGATGATGGATGGATAGATGGATAAATGGGTGGATGATGGATAGATGGATGATGGATGGATGATGGATGGATGGATGATGGATGGATAGATGGATAAATGGGTGGATGATGGATAGATGGATGATGGATGGATGATGGATGGATGGATGATGGATGGATAGATGGATAAATGGGTGGATGATGGATAGATGGATGATGGATGGATGATGGATGGATGGATGGGTGGATGATGGATGGATGGATGATGGATGGACGGGTGGTTGGATGGACGGATGGATGGTTGGATGGATGGTTGGAAGGAAGGAAGGAAGGATGAGTGGATGTGAGGTCTCCCGTTTCTTAAAGATGTAAAACCCTCTGATTTGTTTGAAATAAGAGCCAGTCAATGCTGATCAGCCTTCCCAGCGGCAGCGCCCCCGTCGCCGCAGCGGGCACAGCTTCCCAGAAGGAGGAGCGCCAGGCAGTGGCTTCTCCTTCCCAGGAGGGGGCTCCTGGGGACACCTGGCCTCTGGGGGCTCAGCCCGACCCCCGGGGTCTGCACACCTGTCCAGGCGCCTGAGGGTGGAGGAGGGCGAGGAGGCCAGGAGCACAGGGCCGGCTCCTCGGACCTCCCTCC